TGATTAACCGTTATTGAGGGGGGGTGTGTGTTTACGTTGAATTACCGTAAAGCAGTTTGTGTTTCTCGCTCGTTCTCGCTTCTCGCGATACTTCCCATTTCCAATTTACCGGGACGGTAGTCCCAAAGTTGCAAGGCTGGTTTTCCACCGGGGCGCCGGGGCGGGGACAGTCACCGTTAACACCGGAACAGACCATTTAACCATCCAAATGATTTCCAGACGGGTTTATAAGTTGAAAAAGTTGCCAAGTGCCCCTTTAAGATTCATATAGCTGCTAAAAACGCCAAAATTAGATGTCTACTGAAAGCACGAGATTTTTAGCGTAGAACACAGTCGCAGCTGTTTCTGTAGTGTAGTGGTTATCACGTTCGCTTTACACGCGAAAGGTCCCTGGTTCGAAACCGGGCAGAAGCATTTGGGTCTGATAGCTGTTTGAGATCGGAATTTATTGATCCTTTCCTGATGTCAATGCAAGTTTTCGCTTTCCTTGTTTGATATCATGTCAAAATCTGCTAGATACAAATGGCTTTCCCTTTAATGTTCTAAAAATGTATCAAATCCTGAAGTTTCTGCCCGGTTTCGAACCGGGGACCTTTCGCGTGTTTGGCAAACGTGATAACCACTACACTACAGAAACTGCACAATGCAGCTTCCTGCATCTCCAGAAATTTGGGTCATTTAAGAATTCATACAGCTGCTAAAAACGAGAAAAGTAGATGTCTACTGAAAGCGTGACATTTTTAGGCAAAGTACAGCCATACCGCTGTTTCTGTAGTGTAGTGGTTATCACGTTCGCCTCACACGCGAAAAGTTCCCGGGTTCGAAACCGGGCAGAAACATTTGGGTCTGATAGCTGGTTGAGATCGGAACTCATTGTTACTTTCCTGACGTCAATGCAAGTTTTCGCTTTCCTTGTTTGATATCATATCAACATCTACAATCACGTTAATGTTATAAAATTGCATTAAATTCCCAATGTTTCTGCCCGGTTTTGAACCGGAGCCCTTTCGCGTGTTAGGCTGAACGTGATACAACCGCAACACTACAGAAACTGCACAATGCAGCTTCCTGCACCTCCAGAAATTTGGGTCGTTTAGAATTCATACCAGCTGCTAAAAATGAGAAAAGTAGATGTCTGCTGAAAGTACGACATTTTCCAGGCAAAGTACAAAATATACAACTGTTCTCTGTAGTGTAGTGGTTATCACGTTTCGCCTCGCGAAAGGTCCCGGTTCGAAAACCGGGCAGAGAAGAAACATTCGGGTCTGATAGGCTGGGTGAGATCGGAACTCATTGTTACTTTCCCTGATGTCAAGGCAAGTTTTCGCTTTCCTTGTTTGATATCCATATCACATCTACTAGATACAATGGCTTTCCCTCTAAAAAATTCTAAAAATGTATCAAAATCCATATGTATACTGCCCGGCAGGATTCAAACAGGGGACCATTCGCTGTTAGGGCCCGAACGTGATAACCCACTACACTACAGAAACTGCACAACGCAGCTTCCTGCGCCTCCAGAAATGTGGGTCATTTAAGAATTCAATATAGCTGCTAAAAACGAGAGAAAATTAGATGGCTACTGAAAGCTCGCAAACTTATCTAGGCAAAGTAACGCCATCCAGCTGTTTCCTGTAGTGTAGTTGGTTATCTCATTCGCTTTACGCGCGAAAACGTCCCAGGTTCGAAACCGGGCAGAAAGCATTTGGGTCTGATAGCTATTTGAGATCGAAACTCATTGTTACTTTCCTGATGTCAATGCAAGTTTTCGCTTTCCTTGTTTGATATCATATCAACATCTACAATCACGTTCAATGTTCTAAAAGTGCATCAAATTCCTGTTTCCCTTTCCCGGTTTTGAACCGGGAGCCCTTTCGCGTGTTAGGGCGAACGTGATAACCACTACACTACCAGAACTGCGCAATACATCTTCCTGCACCTCCAGAAATTTGGGTCGTTTAAGAATTCATACAACTGCATAAATACGAGAAAAGAAGATGTCTACTGAAAGCGTGACATTTTTAGGCAAAGTACAGCCATACCGCTGTTTCAGTAGAGTAGTGGTTATCACGTTCTCTTCTACACGCGGAAAGGTCCCCTGGTTCGAAACCGGGCAGATGCATTTGGGTTCTGATAGCTGTTTGAGATCGGAATTTATTGATCCTTTCTGATGTCAATGCAAGTTTTCGCTTTCCTTGTTTGAATATCGTGTCAAAATCTGCTAGATACAAAATGGCTTTCCCTTTATGATTCTAAAAAAGTATCAAATCCTGAAGTTTCTGCCCGGTTTCTCGAACGGTGAACCTTTCCGCGTGTTAGGCAAACGTGATAACCACTACACTACAGAAACTGCACAATGCAGCTTCCTGCACCTCCAGACAATTTGGGTCATTTAAGAATTCATACAGCTGCTAAAAAAACGAGAAAAGTAGATGTCTACTGAAAGCGTGACATTTTTAGGCAACTACAGCCATACCGCTGTTTCTGTAGTGTAGTGGTATTCACGTTCGCCTCAAACAAGAAAGGTCCCCGGGTTCGAAACCGGGCAGACGAAACATTTGGGTCTGATAGCTGGTTGAGATCGGAACTCATTGTTACTTCCCTGACGTCAATGCAAGTTTTCGCTTTCCTTGTTTGATATCATATCAACATCTACAATCACGTTCATGTATAAAATTGCATAAAATTCCCAAAGTTTCTGCCCGGTTTTGAACCCGGAGCCCTTTCGCGTGTTAGGCGAACGTGATAACCGCAACACTACAGAAACTGCACAATGCAGCTTCCTGCACCTCCGGAAATTTGGGTCGTTTAAGAATTCATACAGCTGCTAAAAATGAGAAGAGTAGATGTCTGCTGAAAGTACGACATTTTCAGGCAAAGTACAAATATACAGCTGTTTCTCGTTCGTGTAGTGGTTATCACGTTCGCCTCACACGCGAAAGGTCCCCCTGTTCGAAACCGGGCAGAAACATTTGGGTCTGAAAGCTGGTGAGATCGGAACTCATTGTTACTTTCTGATGTCAAGGCAAGTTTTTCGCTTTCCTTGTTTGATATCATATCAACATCTACTAGATACAAATGGCATTTCCCTTCTAAAAAATTCTAAAAATGTATCAAAATCCATATGTTTCTGCCCGGATTCAAACAGGGGACCATTCGCGTGTTAGACGAACGTGATAACCACTACACTACAGAAACTGCACAACGCAGCTTCCTGCGCCTCCAGAAAATTTGGGTCATTTAAGAATTCATATAGCTGCTAAAACGAGAAAATTAGCTGGCTACTGAAAGCTCGAAAATTATTAGGCAAAGTACAGCCATCCAGCTTTTTCTGTAGTGTAGTGGTTATCTCATTCGCTTTACGCGCGAATCGTCCCTGGTTCGAAACCGGGCAGAAGCATTTGGGTCTGATAGCTATTTGAGATCGAAACTCATTGTTACTTTCCTGATGTCAATGCAAGTTTTCGCTTTCCTTGTTTGATATCATATCAACATCTACAATCACGTTAATGTTCTAAAAGTGCATCAAATTCCCAATGTTTCTGTCCGGTTTTGAACCAGAGCCCCTTTCGCGTGTTAGGCGAACGTGATAACCACTACACTACAGAAACTGCGCAATACATCTTCCTGCACCTCCAGAAATTTGGGTCGTTTAAGAATTCATACAACTGCTAAAAAACGAGAAAAGTAGATGTCTACTGAAAGCGTGACATTTTTAGGCAAAGTACAGCCATACCGCTGGTTTCTGTAGTGTAGGGGTTATCACATTCGCTTTACACGCGAAAGGTCCCTGGTTTGTAACCGGGCAGAAACAATTGGGTCTGATAGCTGGTTGAGATTGGAACTCCTTGATCCTTTCCTGATGTCAATGCAGATTTTGGCTTTCCTAGTTTGATATCGTGTCAACATCTCCCAATTGCTTTCACGTTAAAGTTCTAAAATTGCATCAATTTCCAACTGTTTCTGCCCGGTTTCGAACCAGGGACCTTTCGCGTGTTAGGCGAACGTGCTAACCACTACACTACAGAAACTGCACAATACATCTTCCTGCACCTCCAGAAATTTGGGTCATTTAAGAATTCATACAGCTGCTAAAAACGAGGAAAAGTAGATGTCTACTGAAAGCGTGACATTTTTTAGTGGTTATCACGTTTGCCTCACATGCGAAAGTTCCCAGGTTCGAAACCGGCAGAAACATTTGGGTCTGATAGCTGGTTGAGATCGGAACTCCTTGATCGTTTCCTGATGTCAATGCAGGTTTTGGATTTTCTTGTTTGATATCATGTCAACATTTACTAGGTACAAATGGCCTTCCCGTTAATGTTCTAACAATGTATCAAATTCCAGATGTTTCTGCCCGGATTCAAACAGGGGACCATTCGCGTATTAGGCAATGGTGATAACCACTACACGACAGAAACTGCACAACGCAGCTTCTGCACCTCCAGAAATTTGGGTCGTCGTTTAAAGGGGCACTTGGCAACTAGGCCATTTCTTCGCTGGTTTTCACTTTTGTGGTCGCATGTTTTCTCAACGAGCCTCCCCCTACAGGTCTGGGACGTATATTACACAACACTGTCGTAAAAAAAACTCACTTGCGGCACCCTCCTCCCCCTTTCTACCGCTGCTCATGTGCATTTGTTGCCGGGTTTTTTCGTGTGGCGCGATGTCTACCGAGGTGGGTAATACATTATACACTGTATCATAGAACACTGACATGTATAGCCGGCGTGATTAACCGTTATTGAGGGGGGCGTGTGTGTTTACGTTGAATTACCGTAAAGCAGTTTGTGTTTCTCGCTCGTTCTCGCTTCTCGCGATACTTCCCATTTCCAATTTACCGGGACGGTAGTCCCAAAGTTGCAAGGCTGGTTTTCCACCGGGGGGCGCCGGGGGAGCGGGGACAGTCACCGTTAACACCGGAACAGACCATTTAACCATCCAAATGATTTCCAGACGGGTTTATTAAGTTGAAAAAGTTGCCAAGTGCCCCTTTAAGAATTCATATAGCTGCTAAAAACGCCAAAATTAGATGTCTACTGAAAGCACGAGATTTTTAGGCGTAGAACACCAGTCGCAGCTGTTTCTGTAGTGTAGTGGTTATCACGTTCGCTTTACACGCGAAAGGTCCCTGGTTCGAAACCGGGCAGAAGCATTTGGGTCTGATAGCTGTTTGAGATTGGAATTTATTGATCCTTTCCTGATGGCAATGCAAGTTTTCGCTTTCCTTGTTTGATATCATGTCAAAATCTGCTAGATACAAATGGCTTTCCCTTTAATGTTCTAAAAATGTATCAAATCCTGAAGTTTCTGCCCAGTTTCGAACCGGGGGACCTTTCGCGTGTTTGGCAAACGTGATAACCACTACACTACAGAAACTGCACAATGCAGCTTCCTGCATCTCCCAGAAATTTGGGTCATTTAAGAATTCATACAGCTTGCTAAAAACGAGAAAAGTAGATGTCTACTGAAAGCGTGACATTTTTAGGCAAAGTACAGCCATACCGCTGTTTCTGTAGTGTAGTGGTTATCACGTTCGCCTCACACGCGAAAAGTTCCCGGGTTCGAAACCGGGCAGAAACATTTGGGTCTGATAGCTGGTTGAGATCGGAACTCATTGTTACTTTCCTGACGTCAATGCAAGTTTTCGCTTTCCTTGTTTGATATCATATCAACATCTACAATCACGTTAATGTTATAAAATTGCATTAAATTCCCAATGTTTCTGCCCGGTTTTGAACCGGAGCCCTTTCGCGTGTTAGGCGAACGTGATAACCGCAACACTACAGAAACTGCACAATGCAGCTTCCTGCACCTCCAGAAATTTGGGTCGTTTAAGAATTCATACAGCTGCTAAAAATGAGAAAAGTAGATGTCTGCTGAAAGTACGACATTTTCAGGCAAAGTACAAATATACAACTGTTTCTGTAGTGTAGTGGTTATCACGTTCGCCTCACACGCGAAAGGTCCCCGGTTCGAAACCGGGCAGAAACATTTGGGTCTGATAGCTGGTGAGATCGGAACTCATTGTTACTTTCCTGATGTCAAGGCAAGTTTTCGCTTTCCTTGTTTGATATCATATCAACATCACTAGATCCAAATGGCTTTCCCTTCTAAAAAATTCTAAAAATGTATCAAATCCATATGTTTCTGCCCGGATTTCAAACAGGGGGACCATTCGCGCTGTGTAGCCGAACGTGATAACCACTACACACTACAGAAACTGCACAACCGCAGCTTCCTGCGCCTCAGAAATTTGGGTCATTTAAGAATTCATATAGCTGCTAAAAACGAGAAATATTAGATGGCTACTGAAAGCTCGAAATTATTAGGCAAAGTACAGCCATCCCAGCTGTTTCTGTAGTGTAGTGGTTATCTCATTCGCTTTACGCGCGAAAGCTCCCTGGTTCGAAACCGGGCAGAAAGCATTTGGGTCTGATAGCTATTTGAGATCGAAACTCATTGTTACTTTCCTGATGTCAATGCAAGTTTTCGCTTTCCTTGTTTGATATCATATCAACAATCTACAATCACGTTAATGTTCTAAAAAGTGCATCATTTCCTTGTTTTGATATCGTGGTCAAAATCTGCTAGATACAAATGGCTTTCCCTTTAATGTTCTAAAAATGTATCAAATCCCTGAACGTTTCTGCCCAGGTTTCGAACGGTGAACCTTTCGCGTGTTAGGCAAACGTGATAACCACTACACTACAGAAACTGCACAATGCAGCTTCCTGCACCTCCAGAAAATTTGGGTCATTTAAGAATTCATACAGCTGCTAAAAAAACGAGAAAAGTAGATGTCTACTGAAAGCGTGACATTTTTAGGCAAACCCTACAGCCATACCGCTGTTTCTGTAGTGTAGTGGTTATCACATTCGCTTTACACGCGAAAGGTCCCTGGTTCGTAACCGGGCAGAAACAATTGGGTCTGATAGCTGGTTGAGATTGGAACTCCCTTGATCCTTTCCTGATGTCAATGCAGATTTTGGCTTTCCTAGTTTCGATATCGTGTCAACATCCTCCAATTGCTTTCAAGTTAAGTTCATAAAATTGCATCAATTTCCAACTGTTTCTGCCCCGGTTTCGAACCAGGGACCTTTCGCGTGTTAGGCGAACGTGCTAACCACTACACTACAGAAACTGCACAATACATCTTCCTGCACCTCCAGAAATTTGGGTCACTTAAGAATTTATACAGCTGCTAAAAACGAGAAAAGTAGATGTCTACTGAAAGCGTGACATTTTTAGGCAAAGAACTGCCATACTGCTGTTTCTGTAGTGTAGTGGTTATCACGTTTGCCTCACATGCGAAAGTTCCCAGGTTCGAAACCGGCAGAAACATTTGGGTCTGATAGCTGGTTGAGATCGGAACTCATTGATCGTTTCCTGATGTCAATGCAGGTTTTGGATTTTCTTGTTTGATATCATGTCAACATTTACTAGGTACAAATGGCCTTCCCGTTAATGTTCTAAAAATGTATCAAATTCCAGATGTTTCTGCCCGGATTCAAACAGGGGACCATTCGCGTATTAGGCAATGGTGATAACCACTAC